CTGCTCCAAATAAGTGTTAGCGAACTTCACATATCTTCGAAATATTTTTTCTTCTTTCTCAGATATGCAGTTTTTTTTCATGATTTTTCCTTCACCATGGTTAATCAGCACTTAAAATTGCAATTAACAATTTCATTGGTGCCGGCGGGGATTGAACCTGGATTGCTCGCGTACTATGAAATTTACAGCGAGCGTTAAGCCCTGAGCTACCATGGCTTTTTTGTAAAATATTTAAAAGTAATCTCTCAAATAATATTTACTAAATAATTCGAATAACTTCATTGAACAAACAAGATAATCGCCGTTCTTGCACAGTAGCCGGAATCAAAACTGCTAAGTTTGCCTTCAAAAGCGATAAATGAGCTGTCAAACGTGACAATGTTAAATGCGACTAAACCAGTGTTCGAAGCCCAACGGGCACTTAAACAAAATGCCAAAGTTATCCGTGTCTATTTTTCAATAAAGTAGCATTATTTACGGTGTAACCAAGACAGCAGCAATATCCACAAAATCGCCGCGATATTTATTGATAAAAACACATATAAAATATGACAGTGCACTGCATGAATCGGTCGGCGAGAGATAAAAGAGGGCCTGCACTTACGCGCACTCGGTATCTATAGTTCTGACTAATGAAAAATTTATTAATAATAGCGATCCGACAAAATTTCCATCTACCAGGTCAAAATGTACATCTAAACCACCTAGAAACCCATTCAAACACACACAAAAAATTCATCAAAATCATTCGAGCCGTTTTTAAGCTTCGGCGCGACTAACGGATAGTCATTGATTTTTATATACAGGGATTTTGATTTGACAACATTTTAAGTAAAACTTCTTAATCAACATAGGTAGTGAAGAATGAAAATGGATGGATGGATGGAAATGTACAGAATTTTTTAAAAACGTCACGTTTTCTTGTAACGTTTCACTTCGTTCGTGTGTTCAGAATGGTTCACAATTTACACGCTACAATTTTTTTCACTATAAAATTCACATAAATAATGTCCATTTATCCATTCCATTACGATTTATATCTTGCCAAGCTTGGCATGTTGGCAACCGCACCCGACACCCGTGGGACGATATGGGATAGAGAAAATAATATTTGCTAAAAAATTTCCTTTTAAAAGAAATCTTTTATCATTACATCCTTTTTTATAGAGACCTATTGTAACACCGCCGCTACACGTTTAAAATAATTACACATACGTATAAAGTATCTTTGACACAACTTGATGTTATTCTTTTTATAATATTACCTTATATATATATAGCACCTTTTTATAATATTGATTATTAAAAGAATATTGTTTTTTTTTAATTTTAATTAACGTGGAAGATCCACGCTGTAACATATGGTGGGCTGCTGTACGAATAGGTAAACTTGACCATGGAAGCATCACGCTTCTATGCTCGATGGAACACCAGCATTAAATAGTAGCATAATGCTGCTTTATTTCTTATGGTGAGTGATAAGAACCTTTCTTCTTTTTACTTGTAACGAGGTATTCTATCATAGTCTTCAGGGTTGACAAGGCATCTGCATTTTGATTTGTCACCGAGGATATTAGAATCATATTATATGTCTATGAGCCTCAACTTTCACTAACCACATATTCTTTTTTGTTCTCAAAAACGGAGATAGTTCTCGATTTGACCGGTTTTTTTTTGTTTGTATTTTCATTTTTATTTGTACGTATGTTATGCTGTGTCTCCGTCAATTGAGAATCTTCAATATGTTATACTTTAAATAAGTTATACCTATAATTAAATCGAGAAAAAAAGGCGATGAATTTTTAATAAAATAATATAAAGCTGATTTTGAAAAAATATCTAATTATTTAAGCTCGATACCATGGGAGAGTGACCTGGCTTCGTGCTCCTCAGTGGATGAAATGACTAACAAATTTTACTCAATACTAAGAAGTTCTATCTTAAAATATGTTCCTAAAAGCAAACCAGCATCAAAAAAAGTTTCCCCCGTGGTATACCAGGGATCTTATTCGCCTCTCACGTGAGAAGTATAAGCTCAGGATAAAATACAAAAAGTACAATAACCCACTCGACGAACTGGCATTCCAAAAAATTAAAAAACGGTGCTCTGATTTAACAGAATCTTGTTATCTTAAATATATAACTGATCTTGAAAAGTCCCTATCAGTAAATCCAAAAAAGTTTTGGACCTTTCTCAAGAGTAAAAAAGTCAATAGCAATGCGTATCCATCTGCAATGACTTTCGATGATAAGGAAGAAACTTCTGGAACTGGTATTTGTAATCTCTTTGCCTCTTATTTTGCCTCGGTTTACCGGCCAAGCTTGCCTCTCTGCAATGTACCTGATCTAGAATACTCAGTCTCTTGCTTCCTTGGAAGTCTCACCCTTAGGCGGGAGGATGTTCTGAAAACTCTGAAAGGACTAGATAAGAATAAGGGAGCTGGACCAGATGGAATACCCTCGTTGTTTGTAGTTCAATGCTGTGAATCTCTCTCCTTTCCTCTAACAATAATATTTAATGAGTCTTTAATGAATGGCGTATTTCCCTCGATCTGGAAGGAGGCGAGAATTGTTCCAGTTTTTAAGTCGGGAGATTCGGCATCCGTGAAGAACTATAGGGCCATTTCGATACTCTCAGTCTTTGGGAAGGCATTTGAATCGTTGGTTTGCCCGGTCTTGTCCTATCACATAAAGCATTTAATTTCTCCTTGCCAATCAGGATTTTTGGCATCTCGCTCAACGGTAACTAATTTGATCCCGTTTGTGGATTTTGTTTCTAGCTCCCTTGATTCCCGTATTACTGTAGACACCATATACACCGACTTTAGTAAGGCTTTCGATTCAGTTGATCACAAAATTTTACTGGGTAAACTTTCTCGTTTGGGTGTGTATGGCAGCCTTCTGGAATGGTTTGAATCCTATCTTTATCAACGCAAGTCGCACGTTGTGGTTAATGGCTACGCATCGCATTCCTTTCAGCCAACTTCCGGCGTTCCACAAGGTTCGCATCTGGGTCCAATCCTCTTTAATATATTTATTAATGATATCGTGGGTATCTTTGATCATGCTGCTTGTTTCCTTTACGCTGATGATATGAAACTGTCTATGCAGATCGGAGGTATTAATGATTCATTGCTATTACAGGAGGATCTAGATCGACTCGCCGGATGGTGTAGGGAGAACAGGTTATATTTAAATACTGAAAAATGTAAATTTATCAGATTTTCGAGATGCAAAACGAATTTGTCGCCGTCCTACAATATTGCCGGTCAAAAATTGCAAGAGGTGGACTCTATTCGCGATTTGGGCGTCATTATGGATAAAAAATTACGTTTTCACAAGCACATTGACCAGGTCGCAACAAAAGGTTTCCAGATGCTAGGGTTTGTGCTGCGGAATGCAATGGAATTCAAAAAGCCCTCAACAAAAGTTCTCCTGTATTTGGCATTGGTTCGTTCGGGTTTGGAATATTGTAGTCAGGTTTGGTCCCCACATTATGAGGTTCATATCAGGCGAATCGAGCGAATACAGAAGAGATTTCTCTGGCACCTATCCTACCAATCTAACAAAGCGAAACTGCTGCCCTCATATAAGGAACGTCTTGCCTATTTTAAAATGACTAGCCTACAAGGGCGAAGATTGTTTTTGGATCAATTGCTTTTTTATAAGATTATCAATGGCCTCATTGACTGCCCTGCGTTATTGCGATCTGTCAATTTTAATATCCCATACAAGTTGCCGCGTTGCGTACGTTACGTTCCATTCTCACCAAAAGGTGCCAAAAGTAGCTTAGGTCACCATGCCACCATGAATCGCTTACAGAGACAGTACAACTTAATATCTAAGTCTTACAACATCGACATCTTTTCTGACAAGCCGTTGAAATTTAGACGCAAGCTCGGTCAGTTTCTCAAGTCAATGGTGTCTGTTTGATTCAAGTATCTATATCTATTGTTTGATTTTTTAACATATAAAAATAATGATTGTTAAATGATGATTAAAATGTTTTAAGTTGTCATTTGCTTAGTGTTAACTTACCTATTTAAGTTTTATTTGATTAGTCCACTTTTGCATGCCGTGGCAGCCTATAATTAAGATGACGCTTAGCTTTAGTTTGATATTCATGTTACCTTAAAATCCATGTATTAGTGTTCGTCTTGTTGGTTGTCCTTTTAAATAAATAAAAAAATAAAAAATAAAATAAAAAATAAAAACATATTTTGATGGCTTCTCGTTGGTACCTCCTTGAGCTTCCTTAGTTCATTAAAATCGTTAAAAAAATTTACTTTATATATATATATATATATATATATATATATATATATATATATATATATATATATAAACCGACTTCAAAGAACTAAAAAGTACAGTCTAGTCTCTTACCCGGTCGTCGCTGAAGAACCGACAGCCGATGGAGAAGAAAGGTTCTCGAGTAAACGAAGAACTCTTCTAGCCACTCCCATCTACTGCCTACTCTACCGCCATCTATGGAGATAGTCATAGATGTGCAATTCCCCCAGATGTTGCAGTTATTAATGGGTGGCGGTCAACACTTACCATCAGGTGTGCCGCATGGTCGTTTGCCCCCTCTTCTATAAAAAAGGATGTAATGATAAAAGATTTCTTTTAAAAGGAAATTTTTAACTTGAAAGCTTAAAAGTGAGGAAATATAGATGAATTTTTAACTTGAAAGCTTGAAAGTGTACTTTACTTCGTAATTTGAATATTGCTTAATAAATGCATAATATATTAAATTGATAAAGATATAAAAGGTATTTTTAAAAGTATTATGCGAACAAATAACGTACCTATATTACTGTATCGGGTTACACAATAAATTATCTTTTGTAATGTTCGGGTTGACTTTTACAAATAGAATTAAATTCAACAAAACATATAGAAAACTTTCATAACAGTTTAGTCAAATATAAAAAAAATCAGGAACAATTTTTATTTTATTTTTGATAAGTAATATAAGATACCGTATTTATTTTCAGGTCTCACCTATAGATACACGAGCGCCACTGGAATGTGCTACAGTTTAAATGAGGCTGCGCGGGAGTTGAACCGGTCGTGGGGCGATCGGCCGCCTCCGCAGAACTTCGGGGAAAGGCTGTCCATGATTTATGACTAAAATTAAAACCTGCCCTGCACCGACTGGATGGCCCGGTGGAAATGAGACCGCTGTTTCGACTCAAAGATTGACTGCATTATCGATAATTCGACTACGCCAGCGAATTTTACACTAATAAACGGAAAAATTATTGTTTTTAAAACTTGACCGAGTTCACGATGCTACGGCATTAATTGCGTTCACAAATATTAATGTATTTAACTTATTTCTTTCGTAATATAATGATAATGCGCATTTGCTTTAAATCTGGTTTTTGTTTTAAAACAAATAGGTTAATTTCGGTCTTTACTCTTTATCATTATTGCAACTTAATTCCTTTAAAGTTAAAAGTAATTTCATTTTATATTATATTTTTACAAGGTTTTTTTGTCCGAATATTGTTAAAAAGGGTGATTGATGTTTTCAAGATTTTTGTATTCACAAATTAAAGTAACTATATCCATTTATTTGTTATGTATATATGTATAAATGCCTAGTTTGTCTAACAGTCCTTAGTGAGTCTGTTGATCATGAGGTTCTGAGTATCGAATTTCAGGTCGAGCCAGAATCAAGTAATTTCAGCAGCCCTGATTCAGGAAGTTAGCGTTATTTTACCCCCGTGCCGCGGAAAGCACGCAAAGCCGTGGGTCCTGCATTAGTCCTGATTTATTTCCATTCGTATCGGATTACCGTCCCTTCAGACTATGAGAGTGAGGGAAAAGTAAGCGCACCCGTGCTTTAGTGCGTGCGATTCATGCACTATAATCCTGTCCTACGCAGAAGACGAGTCAGCGTAGAGATTGGGCGCCGTGGCCGAATTTCGGTCTAGAGGACATTATGATATATACACCCATGACCCCATTTCCTCCTGCAGGTGTAGCAGGAATCAATTATGAGTAATACCTGGTATGTCCTATAAAATATATATATATATATATATATATATATATATATATATATATATATATACATATATATATATATATATAGGTAGTTATTTGATGTGTGTAATAAAATAAAATGTTAATACAAGGCAGAACCGGATGGTATTTGGACCCGAGCTCAAGGCCCTGGGGTCACGAGTCGTCTCATCGCGCTGCGGCAGATGCCAAATTGTTATGTCTTCCCTGAACTAACAGCTTTACTGTTACAATATTGTAGCGTTAAACGTACCGCGTACTTAACAGATTTTTAGCTTAACATGAGTTATGCAATAAAGTAAACAGTAATGATTTTTTATCTAGCAACACTCACAATTGTAACAAGTTTTACGTGGTAGAGCCATGCTGCAGTTATATTAATAGTATAGTTGTAGCACGAATGGGTCGGCTCGACCGGGGAAGGACCACGCTCTCACAGAATACCAGCGTGAAATAGTAGCTTAATGCTGCTGTATTTCGTATGGTGAGTGTAGAGAACCGGAGACCCTTTTTACTGGAAACGAGGCATTCCATCTCAGTCCTCACGGGTGACAACGCATCTGCATTTTGATTTGTAATGGAGGATAGATGTAGATGTCTATGGACCGCAGCAACCACTTACCATCAGGTGGACTGTGTGCTCGTTTGTCACCCTATTCTATAAAAAAAAAAAAAGTTTCTTTATTAAAAGCAAAGTGGGAAACGTAGTTAAAATCCACCTGATGTAAGTGGCTACCGCAGTCCGTTGCCAACTGCAACGAACTTTGAACAAAGGAGGCTTCAAATGCGTTAGACGTGGTAGAGCCACGCTGCAGCTAAAATAGCAGACCCTTTTTACTTGAAACGAGGCATTCCATCTCAGTCCTCACGGGTGACAACGCATCTGCGTTTTGATACTTACTCGAGGTTAAATGTAGATGTCTATGGGCCACAGCAACTACTTATCATCAGGTGGACTCTGTGCTTATTTGTCACACTTATTCTATATAAAATCACCTTTGACGACTGAGATCAAATGCCTAACACCCTGTTTTACTGGCTCTCTGTACTCGTCAGATCAGAACACAGCACTGCTACATAGCTGCCAGAAATGGGTAAGAGGGGGGGAATAGCTACTCAGGTGGACTCTTGGACAAACAAGAGACTAATCACAAGGAGAATTTATCAAACCATAAGTTGAACAGAAGTCATATTTTCTCTGTCAATATAAAAAGTGAGATTGATCGCCACCTAAAAAAAATATTTACCTGTGATTATTGTGTGTAGCTTTAAGTAAAGTTTATGAAATTATATATATTTTTTACAAGAGGAGGCAAACGAGCATGCGGCTCACCTGATAGTAAGTGACTACCGCCGCCCACAAACAACCGCAACACCAGAGGAATTGCAGGTGTGTTGCCGGCACTTTAGAAAGGAGTAAGCTCTTTTCTTGATGGTCCCTGTGTCATATCGGTCCGAAAAAAATCGCCGGTGGTAAACTATTCCACAGAGAAGTTGTACGAGCAATAAAACTCCTTATAAAACGCACAGTGGTGTACCGCCAAACATCTAGATGGTGAGGATGGTATCGTGAATTTTGACGCGATGTGTGTTCGTGAAATTTGACGACTGAAATTAATCCGAACAATTCCTCAGAGTACTCCCCGTGGTAGATGTGATAGAAAATGCAAAGGGATGCAACATTCCTATGCAGTGGCTTAAAAAATAAAGTTGCATTTCGTATACGTCAAACTCCTGGGCACAAGCATCCTCTCGTTTCTGAGAGTATTTTAGGGCAAGCAAGTGTCCGCCGCTCTGCCCTATGCGTGTTTGTGAACTTCGTACGTCTTCGATATATTTTTTTTTATTTTTCAGACGTGTAGGCACTCAAGGTGTTATCCTTCAACACCAAGCATTTGGTAAATCAGCACTTAAAATCCCAATTTACAATTTAATAAATTAAATTGGAGGCGAGCACTCAAGCACAATAACCTCACGTATCATCCTTGGTAGGAATCGGTGTTGATGCTACAACGTTCCGGGAAGTCTGCAGTTTGTGATCATATCCTAGATGACCCCAACCATTACATCAGATTTGATAGACCACAAATCCTCGCGAAAGAACACCGATTCCTATCAAGGATGATACGTGAGACTATTGAAATTAAAAAACATCCTAATTTCAATAGAGAGGGAGGCTGGGTGCTACCACCTGCTTGGAACCCTATAATCAATAAAATTAAAACTAAACCCAAGCATACCACTGCAAGACTTCAAGACACAGTCAGTTCATTTTGCATAGATCGCACCATAAACAATAATTAAAAAAGCTGAAGGTACTCCGGATTTAACAATGACATCGGGACGTCAGTCATCTCAGTCCCCCGTGACCATGGGTTCTGGAAAGCAGCCGAAACGTCGGGAATTAAAAATAATTAAAATTAAACGCGATATAATCCGTAAAAGTAGTTTTAATCAACGAATAGCAATATTATTATTTTATTTTATTTATTTATAATTACAAACAAAGCACAGAAAGTTTGTAACAAAAATTTTAATATAATCATTAAACATTTTGTAAAAAAATATTTTGTTATAAAAACTAAATCTTTCTTAATTATAGGTTCACACGCTTAATGTTTTATAAACAAATTTTTATAAATTAATAACATTGAATTAATTACAACAAAAAAACTGTTCTCCGCATGCATCACAATAGTATCTGCAGTTTTTTTTTTTTATAGAATAGGGTGACAAACGAGCACACAGTCCACCTGATGGTAAGTGGTTGCTGCGGCCCATAGACATCTACATCTATCCTCCATTAAAAATCAAAATGCAGATGCGTTGTCACCCGTGAGGACTGAGATGGAATGCCTCGTTTCCAGTAAAAAGGGTCTCCGGTTCTCTACACTCACCATACGAAATACAGCAGCATTAAGCTACTATTTCACGCTGGTATTCTGTGAGAGCGTGGTCCTTCCCCGGTCGAGCCGACCCATTCGTGCTACAACTATACTACTAATATAACTGCAGCATGGCTCTACCACGTAAAAAGCCTGAGTAGCCGACACCATAACTACAAACTTACTACATGATTTAGTTTTTTTGTACAAGCTTACAAATGGGACTATAGATTCTGCAGAATTACTATCACAAATATTGTTCAAAGTTCCCTGCCGTGTACCGCGTTTTTCGATTCCCTTACTCAAACACAAATTGTATAAAACTAATCTTGGTCATCACTCTCTTATACCGAGAATAAGCAGATTGTATAACGAATGTGTCCTTAAAGATAAGACTATTGACTTATTTAGCAATAGTATAAAATCTTTTAGAGCCAAAATTGTCAATCTATTTAATAACTCATAGTAAAGATTATACCATAACTTTATATAAACTAGATATAAATGTTGTTATTTTTATATATTTTTAATTTCATATATTTCGTGTTGTCTTATTGTTTTTGTTTGTTTTATATTAGTATTTTACTCGTACTTATAACTATTAATAGTTATCGTCTTTTTTAAACATGCTGTAACTACCTTTAAATGGAAACATGTAAATCTTAGTTCCTAGGCCTATTGTCACTTTTTTTTTTCAAAACAACATGTTATTCCGTTGGTGGTTCTATCAATAAAATAAAAAAATAAGCTAAAAGGACTGTGGGCCGGCCATGTACTTCGAAGACCGACAACCAATGGCGCAGAAGGGTTCTGTTGTGGCTCGATGGAGTAAAGAACTAGTAAGTCGATAGATACAGTTGACCCAAGACAATGCTTTGTGGATTTCTTTGGTAGTGGTCTTCTGAGAACTGTAATGATCATGATAATGCTAACGATAAAATACCCTCAATCACATTTACCTAATAACAGCGTTATAAATTCGCAATCCCATCACATTAATGTCAACACCACTGATAAAACGATCAAAACCAACTAGCAGCGAGCATCGTATACGAAAGCTATACTATGCCAAAATGTAAGAAAAGATACGCTATACAATTTGTATGAAACGACCCGCGAAGCACAGATACTAGCTCTCTAGATCAAGATAGCGCCACGGTTGCTGCGGAGCGGCTGCCAAGATTTTATCTGTAACTACCATAGATCTATAAGTACC